AGCTGCCAGCGGCGGCCGAGTTTGTGAAGTGGAGCCCCGGGCCCCCTTGCCTTCGGGGCCTCTCGCTCCACTTCAGTCTCCTGGGGAGTCAAATAATTGTTCTCTTGTTTTCCAGTGTTGATTAGGGGTGGGGGTTGGACCAGTCCATTTAGTTTCTCGCTCTTTCTCCCCCGGCCCCCTCCCGAAAGCATTTATTTTCCTCGCGGCCCCGGCGCTTTCTGAATACAGGATCCAGACTTTCCTGGAAGTTGTTTATGGAGTTAGTGCTTTCACCCCTGCCCTTCCCTTGCGCCGTGGAACTCGGGCGGGCTCACTCTCTGCAAACTTAGTAGGTTCATGTGTTGGCTGCTCAATTGTAGACTATTATTTACAGTCTGCTGAAATGCTTTTAAATTAGCCACATCTGCAAGTTGCGCAGGACCTGAGCTGCGCCTTGCGGTGCCTTGGTCTTAACACAAGCCTTTGATAATGCTCTGCAGGTTGACTCATAGGCCGAGTCCTGCCTAGTTCAACTGTGATTAAAAGTTAATGTTTGGGAAGCGATGACTAATTCGAGGCTCGCCATTGCTTTTTAATTCTTATTGAGGATATGAACATGGCTGTTCCACATACACAGCATTCGATTATTTTGTCAACTTGATCCAACACTGAAGTGAAACTATTATGGAAGTGCTAACATTCCGACAGGCCCCCGAAGATTTGTTTGGTGTAGGTTTTTCTTTCTTTCCTTCCGTTTTTAAAAAAGAACTTGCTTCAGGCTAAACTTCAGCATAGGAACTTTGCCCAAAAGTTAATTGGTTTTCCAAATACTGAGATGTGGTTAGTCCACTCGTCTGTAATTTGAGTGGGAAGAACAGTTATCGCCCCCCACTCCCATCGTCCCCCCCCACTCCCCCCCCCGTTTGCAGGCCTGTTGTATGGTCTCCTGCTCCCAGACCAAGGGGTTTTGGAACTCGGAAAAACTCACTTAACCTGCTGACAAAAACCTAGGTTAAGGAGGAGGAAGGAAAAACAATTTAGCTGCTTGCCCTAAACGCTTCGGTTTGTAAGAAGTAGTAGACTTAGGTATGCTTTTTTCTCTTACCCCTGGAAGTGGGTGTCTGGACTCATGATGGGTAAAAACGTGTGTTGGCATTGCAACCCCCAGACTACACTGCTATGCTGCTAGTTACTTAATATGTTTTGAAAGCATACTACACATAGGAGATTGAATTCCCCATCTTGTGGCATCTATAAGCCAAACAGAATTGCGACTGAAAAGTGTACTTATTTCCCATTTATTCTAGTAAATAACTGCACAGGAATTTATATCAGCAGTGAATGGATTCATACTATCCATAATCTGCTATAGTTTTGTTTGTTTTAATAAGGTTTTAATCAAGTGTTGTGCATCTGTAAGTTTGACTTTTATTTCTGCTACTGATTCCTAATTCAGATTTATCCTGACTGGAAGCTCAGAAATGTACATGATTTAATTAGAAGGGATAAATGCCTCTGGTGATTGTTTCCAGTCTCCACTTCCTTGCCTTTATGAATCTAGGAAATTGTAACTTTTTGATAATCAAACCCTAACTCTAATCAGGGAATTTAAATAACTATACTAGATTATGAATAGTATGAATGTGGGTTGTAAATGCTATTGTCCACAAATTCTTGGGTATAAATTCACATATATTCTCATTTTTTCCATCATGAGATAAGCTGTATTACAAATGAGAAAACTTGAGGCTCACAGAGATGAAGATACTGTTCAGTGTCACCCTAGCCAGCCTGGACTGAAACCCAGATCTTTGGGGTCTGAGGGCAGCACTTTTTCTGCTATTACACAGTTGTAAATATTTAAGTATGTAAATTCTTAAGTTATATTATAATTGAATTGTTGCCTTCTTTATCATCTAGATATAAATGTGTGCTTGGGTTTCCATTTCATTTTAGGTGGCTTTTACGAGCATTTGAATGGTTCTGGATCTTTTGTATTCATTAAAAGTGGTATAAATCGTGGTGTTGCTTTATCGATGACGTTTGTCCATAGTGAGGAAAAAATGACAATTGTCATTTGTTTAGGGCTTGATGTAGGAAAAAAATTAACTACTTAAAACCTAGTTTTTAGAAAAAGAAAGCAGAGTTATTATATTCCTTGGGTTTTGTCTGTATCTAGAACATTTTAGAACTTGGAAAAGCACTCCATTCTGCCTTGGCCTTTACACATTTAAAATTATCCATCTGCAAACCTATATTCCTCTGTGTCAAATATTAAATGCTACAATTTGCCTCTGGTACTGAGAATTTCATTGCAATCAAATATCTACCTAAGAAATTAAAAGGACTGTCTTTAAAAACAATTCTTAAGAAATTTTCATTTGAATTTTCCTAACAGGCCAGCACCGATGCAGGCACCGCAGGAGCCCTGACTCCACAGCATGTCCGAGCTCATTCCTCTCCAGCCTCCCTGCAGCTGGGAGCCGTGTCTCCTGGGACGCTGACCCCCACTGGAGTGGTCTCTGGGCCAGCAGCTGCGCCCACTGCTCAACACCTTCGACAGTCTTCTTTTGAGATACCTGATGACGTGCCTCTGCCAGCCGGCTGGGAGATGGCAAAGACGTCTTCTGGCCAGAGATACTTCTTAAAGTAAGTGAAAATAAGCGGTGCGAGAGAGTTTAGTTTTCTGAGAAAACTGTATTTTGGGAAACAGTAAGGCGATGCCAAGATATAAATTGTCATTTATTTTTATATTATACTTAATATTTCTATCAAGCCCAGTTATATCTTTTGTAATTTTTTTTTCTTTCTAGTTTGCTTTGACCTAAGTAACTTATTTGGGTAGTATTTGAAAGCTTCCTATTCATTGTTTTTTACTAAACTTTTCTTTAATGGCAACTTGGATATTGTCATTTTAAGTTAGTGCGAAACCTATTCATTAGCCTAGCTCAAAACTGAAAGAATACCATGAACAATTTCAAATTTTGATAATTATGGGGCTGACATAGTTTTATGAAATATGTATGACACTACTTATATCTTCTCTAAATAAACATTTTACTGGTAGAAAAGAACTATAAAATAAGTAGAATTTCTCTATGAGTCTAATTTTACAGTATTTTAGATTGTGAAATGACAAACCCATTAGCTACAGTTTGAGGTGATTTATCAGTTTGTTTCCCCCCCCCCAAATGTAAAGCGAAATGTGGATTTTCAGGCTTGATCACAGTCGCTCAGTGGCCAACTTCTTTCAAGCTGTCTATCAGGTCTTCAAAACCGAATCCCTTTCCTCTGGGAAATTGAAAACAAGGCTACTGGGTTATTTGTTTTTATCAGCCTAATTTTTTGTGTGTGTGTTTAACAAAATGGCAAAATTTCACTGAAGCTGAAAAGGTCAAAATAGAATTTTGTCTATCCTTTTGAAATTATAGATGACTTTAATATTTTTATCTGGCTTGCTTGTTTTAAGAATATACAAAACGTTTTCTGAAAATAATTACTATGGACTGAAATTGATGTTTTCAAAAAGTTGCTTACTTCATACTGTTTAATCAGGTTGAGATAATGAAGTGAAAAACAATCCAAGTTTTGATTGAGATCTGTCTTGTCAGTCTACTCCTAAGGCACATGTAATAGATCAAATAATACAATTAATGATACTGTTTTGTTGTATGAGTCTTAGTACTTTATATTGATTGTCTTTCAGGGCACATTGTTGCTTTGCAATGTAAGATACAGTTGTGTGACAAGCTTATTTAGGAGAAGAGCAGAGGAAAAAGTTTGAGCTGGAAAAGTTTCTGCAGTTTTTTGCCCCCTGTTCCTGTAACTTTTTTCTTCTTTTTTAAAATTTCATCTTCTGGTGTCCTGGTATCCATTTCAAAGGGTCAGGTTTCAACCAGAACAATAAAGGGCCTGAGACTGGAAAGTACACACGAGTCTGGCAAACTCATCTGCATGAGCAAGATCATTTGTTCTCAAGCAGACACCCAGAGTAAATGATTGAAAGAGCTGCTAGCTGTGAGGGATGTGTCTTGAAGGGAAAGGGAGTGGAAACAAACCAGGTTGTTAGGAAAAAGAAAGGCTGTACTTTTTTGAACCTCTCCCTGCTGGGTCACATGCTGACCTGGGGAGATTTTTAAACAGCTTAATAGCTAGCTTGCCTCTTTTCTTTGGTTGATGTTACAGCTAAAAGTATATGGTTAAAGAGCAACATTTATGCTACCCTCTTAGTCTTTCGTATCTTGTAATAATTGCTTCTAGGTGACATCTGCCTATATTTTCATCATTTTGAATAATCTTTTTGTTTTGAGTGGAAACATTCTATAATTTATTTTTTTCTCTTTTTTTGGGGGGGGAGGGGGCAATTAGGTTTATTTATTTGTTTGTTTATTTTTGATGGAGATACTGGGGGTTGAACCCAGGACCCTCGTGTATGCTAAGCATGCACTCTACCACTTGAGCTATACCTTCCCCCTTATAATTTTTAAAATTTCCCAATGATTCTCCCTTTGAGAAGTGTTTCTCCTGAAGATGGATTAATGAAGTGTGCACCCACACATACCACCCCACCCCAAGCACCCAGCTCAAGTGGGCCTGTAGGGAAGGTAAACCAGGCTAAAATGAAAATTATGCCGTGTGAGTGATGGTTACAGGAGTGGAGAGAAGCTTACTTGGAAAAGAAAAAACTGAGAAGAAGAGAGATAAACATGATCTTCAAGATTTCTGAGGGAGTCTAACGTGGAAGTAAAATTAATTTTATTATATGATAAGAAACATGAAATTTTTTGACTCCATGCAATAATTTACTCACATCAAACTTTGAGAAATAGAGGGGTTTTCCATGATAGATGGATCTCAGTCATTAAAAGTAGGCAGAATCATGAATTAGTTGGTACCTGGCAGGATTTGTAGAGAGGGCTCCTAAGCATTGGACCTGGAAGTTGGGGGTACTGTGGGGTTGTAAGATTTCATATTCTTCTGAAGGATCTGCTTTATGGAAAATATGCAATTTGGAGAAAAGTTATAAAAACTTGAGTTCGCATCTAGTTGCCACCTATTTCCATGATGTTGTAGGATGTGTGAGTTGTAAACAACTTGTTTTTGTGTACTACACAGGTAAAGGAGATTAGTATCTGTCTTGACTGTGAGTCAGAGATGAGAAATGAAGCTTTTGGAACCAAGTTGTTATTGTCAACGTTCATTTTTATTCTGGTTTTGATGTTTTAAAGTCAGGCTCTCTTTGCAGTCAGCACTTACGTGTTTTCCTCTTGTGTCTAAAGAAGATTCTTATTGCCAGCTAGATGTAGGGTGAAGACTTAAACTAGTTGGAGA